TGGACTGTCCTGTGTGACTGTGGACTGTCCTGTGTGACTGTGGACTGCACCTGTGACTGTGGACTGTACCTATGATTGTGTCTACCCTGGTAAGGAGAGGGGAAGGGGTACAAGGGAAGGGGGTGGCAGGAAGGATAAGCTACATGGATATTAGCAACATTTCAAAAGAGAAAGGGCTAGAGGATGGTTTAATGGAGAAAGTGCTTCCCACTCAAACACCCACCTAAGAGCTGGGTGTGGTAGCATATACTTTAAAATCTGAGGTCTGGTCCTTGGGGTGTGCTGGCCTAAACATTGTGCTCTAGGTGTAGTCCCTCAGTGTCACAGCTGCCTATGGCAAGATGGCCCTGTAAAAGCTGTCAAAAATGGTGGCTCCTGTCAAAAATGGCAGCACCACCACATCTCCTCAGCCTGTAGCTGTCACAAGAGCTGCAGATCGGTGGGATTTCAAGTCCTGAGCTTGGGGAGCTCAGGAATCGGGGGTTCATCACCTTACCCACCACAGCAGGAGCTACCACTGAAGAGCTGTCCATGGTGACTGCACCAGGTGGTGATACCTTCTGTCCTGTCTCAGCCTACCGTCTTAGTGAAACATCACTGCGGGAGCTGTCCCTCAGGAGCTGTCCTCTGTGGCAGCACCTCCTCTCCAGCCACCCTCCAGCAGCCCCACAGAGATGGCGCTTCAACAAAAGCCAGCTTCAGCTGGGGAGGACTTTCCACCCTGATCTACGGGCCTGATGCAGGGTAAAGGGGGTAGAAAAAAAAGCCAACAATCTCTGAGCAGGAAAATCAGCAAGTCAGTTCAGCTGGGGATTCCCTCTCCTGGGAGCTGTAAGCCTCTGCTGAGGAGACTTCCTCTCAGAGCTGTGTGGTTCCTGAGCTCCGGTGTCTCAGGATGCACTTCCCTTGGGACACTGTCCCACCTCAGAGCTGCATGGTTCCTAGTCCCAGGATACCCTTCCATCTGAGCAGAAACACACTAGGTTTAATGAGAGACACTAAGAAAAATAAGGTGGAGAATAAATCAGAATGATATATACAAGTTGACTTCTGGCAAAAAACGCACACCACACACTTGTGCATACACATGTACAGAAAATTGAGCACATACATGCACATACACACACATACACACACACACGAACCTATGGGTGCACCCATAGGTTCGTGTGTGTGT